ATTTTGCCTCATCTGTCCAGACCACAGAAGTGAGGCTAAGCCCATCGCCAGGTGCGTGCGTGCATGTACATAAGCCAAGTGGGCAGTAACCATGGGCCGAGACCTCCCAGATTCCTATATGTCACCGAGCAGGTCATGGTGATGTGCAGATGACAGTCCCTACGATATCTTGTGCCCTGTCCTCCTGAGCCACCCACTCCTGCTACCAAGCTACCTCCTGCGGCTTCGCACCGGCACTTCTGGGCGGCATGAGCAGATGTAGGTACGCTGAACAGTGCTGCAGACGGGTAGGACCGCAGAGGCAAGTGGTGGGATGTGTTGCCTCGCATCCCTGACAGATGGCAAACATAATATCCTTTAACAGTGCTGCTAGTTGCAGAGTCCAGCCCTGCTGTTCTGACACCGACTCAGCCGCGAAGACCCATCTCCAAGGTGACTCTGTGCTGAGGAGCGAGGCTATATCACAGAAATTTGCTTACATTCAAGGACATGTGCTTTTTCCCGTTGTTTGAGTCCAGAGAAAGTTTTCCCAAGCAAGGCTTGCTGATATTATCAACCTTATACAGTCAAACGGCGTCGCCGCTGAGGTCCCAGCGCGTGGCTCCGCCGGTGGTGGGTTGTGCTGGTGTGATGAGGAACGCTGTGCCTTCAGGCAGATCTTCCGCGCAGTCCATCAGCACAAGCTGTGGCTGGACGTTGCGTTGAATCCTGTGTTACTGCAGGCAGCTGCAGTCTCTTCCCGCACCTCCTCACCCCTGCCTGTCCGTGCCTTCAGAGACAGAGTCGCTTCAGTGGCTTGATCCAGCAGGAAAACCACCCATCAGGAAAAAAAACCCAAAAAACCAACACAAAACCAAACCTGAAATAATTATTCCTTTGGATCAACCAGCCAGACAGGCAGCTGTCAGTTTTCTATGTGTGGGGAAGGGAACAAGACTTGGGGAGACCTGGAGCGGGGGAGATGTCCCTCTTAAAGCCAGCCTGCAGCTACGGTGGATTAAAGGCAGCGTCAACCCATCCTTCCCCAGACGTGCCGTGGGGTTGTGTGTATTTTTCCACTGCTGCCCTGGCTGTAAATGCCTGCACAATGGGGATACATGATAGTACCAGCTGCAGTTTTATTTAGAGGGGAGTAATGAATATTTTGTTCCAACAGGCTTTTGAAACAAACGGCGACCATCTGGTTAAAAGTTTTGCTCTCAGCCATATCATGATTCCCCAAAGTTATAATCGAGCACCTCTCTGCCCTGGTCGTGCCAAGCAGATTTATTTTTAGGTCTGGCTATTAAACAGGCTCCCAGTTTTCAAAGACTGTTAGAATCCCACTTTCGTTATTAACAGGCGCCCTGGAAGCGGGGACTCGCTTTTGCCTGGAATCGGTAGAACTTCTCACTGGTGCTAACAAAGCTGAGGCAGATACTAATGAGGGTTTGAGGGCAGATGCTGCCTCAGACAACACGGATCCTTGAAAAGCACAGAGCTGGCTGCAGAACCAATTGTGCTGCTCTTAAAAAAAAAATAAGCTGTTGCTTCTCTTTTATTAGCTATACATCCCCAGAGAGTCGTTTTAAAGCTCCAAAGTACCGTTTTCTCTGCCATTGGATACTCTCTGATGCTTTGGGGAGCAGTTTCTGTTTTCTGCTGTCAAGCTGTTTGACTGCATTGATTTTTTCGTGTTGCAGCATCAACAGGTCACGGGTGAGACTGAGATCTTTTTTTCCAGGTGCCTACACACAACACATATGTAATCCCACCTTCCCCAAAGAGAGATACAGGAGTTCAAACAGAGGGAGAATTCAGCCTGCTCCATGGTCATGTTTTAAAGCTGCAGACCAGCTCCTAACTCAATTGATGGGTCCTGAGGTAACTGGATTGTGTGCTGGAAGTTAGCAGGAAACCAGTTTGCCCCAGAGGCCACCCAGTCTGTATATCTATCTGTATATATCTATACAGTCTATCTGTCTATCTGTATATATCCATTTTATTGGGATAGGTGAGTTAGGTGTGTATAGCTAGATACCAAGAGCACAAGTTTCCCAGTGAATTCCAGTTTAAGCCCTGGTTGCACTGGAAATGACAGTCACCCCTGTGGGCTGAAGGGACGTTTCCAATAGGAGAATTCAACAATGTCTCCATTTTTCTCTCCTCTGCAGCATGGACAAGGACAGCCAGGATGTTCACCAGGTGCTGAATGAGCTCAAGAACAAGTTCCAGGAGATGAGGAAGCTGATCAGCTCCATGCCCGGCATCGGTGTGAGCCCAGAGCAGCAGCAGCAGCAGCTGCAGAACCTGCGGGAGCAGGTCCGGACCAAAAATGAACTGCTGCAGAAGTACAAGAGCCTTTGCATGTTTGAAATCCCCAAGGAGTAGGAAGGGTGCAGCTCTGCTCTCCGGGTCTGAGGTACCTCCTCTCCTGGCCAAACAGGAGAGAGAAAGGTGGCAGAAGTTTACTTTTCTTTCTTGTACGCTTTTTTGGTCGTGTTGCTCTGAAGTTGTGTCTGTGTGGATCACAGGCATGTGACACCGAACCAGAACACTGTGTGCTTCACATATGATGATTACAGCGGTATGTTCACTTTGATCTGCTGTAGGACTGTGCATTTATGTATGCATCTCTTCTGTTTTTTCTTGGGTTGGAGTGGGGTTTTTTTTTCCTTACATTCAAGCAAGCAAGAGACATGTATGTTTTCTCCTTGCTAAGGGTCAAAGCACTGGCTGGTTAATTTCAACAGAAAAAGGGGACATTTTTGGCAATTTTTTTCACTGAAAAGTGGCCAAACATCACAAGGGAGCATAAGAGGGAAGCGTGAGCTGTTTGGCCCTGCTCCTGGAAAGGGTCTCTGGGACACTTTCCAGTCTCTGTGTGTGGAAAGAGGAATGATTGCTTTCAATTACTTCTGAATTTCTCTCTCTCTCTTTTTAAACAAATCATGGTTGTATCTGAGATGAGTCAAGTAAAGATTTAGAATTCCAAACTACCCCTCTTGTGTATTCACTGAGTGGATGTGGGCCGAGCAGGGCCAGGACTTTGGCAGCACAGAGGAGGTGCGTAGCCTGGGCCCAGCTCCTGTGTCTTTACGTTGCTTTTTTGGAAGCAGGGCAACAGGAGAGCGAAGCAGGGACTGCCGGGGAGCGGATTTCGGTAGGCTTTGGGTGCGTAAGTCTCCTTGGGTGAGTGCAGCTTGTAGGCAGTACGTTGGGCACCTGGCTCTTAAAACAGAGGAAGGGCAAGCAGAATCAAAACAAAGGGCATAAATGACAAAAGCTTTTAGTTATTCCATACATGACAGAAGTCAGGCTCAACAGGATGGGTCGCTTCCACATCCGAAGTGCTGCAAGGGCTTCCCGCAAACACAAGTATTTGAGCGGCTTGAACATTTGCAAGCTCTTGAATGTTGTATCGCATTCAGATGGATCGCGGAGCTCCCTGCCCTCTGTCCTCCTGCTGTTACTCTTACGGTGGCAGATGACAACCTGGTGAGCAGCACCGCATCTCGCTGACTCACAAAGATGGGACGAGACCTTGAATCTCGTGGTTCTCTGAGTTATGCTGAATGGTGGTGCAGGTCAGTAGTAGAAGAAGTGAAAAACCAGCTAGTGAAGTACAGTATCTGCTGAGAACCAGCATCTGAGGGCGGGTGGCACTTGGGCCTTCAGAAGAAGTGAAGTCTGTTTGGGTAGGGTTTTCCTTTCCTAAACCAAAAGGCAGGTAATTCTGCTCGTTGGGAGCTGGGATGGTCGTGACTCACCTGTAGCCTAGAGATTACTCTGTCCCCGCTGGAATACTTTACTAGTACTTTCTTTGGGAAGATGCCAGCGTGTAAACTCTGAGCGAAGCAGAACACCAAGATAAACAAAGCACAGTGTACACTCTTTTTATTACTGACATTACCTTTCTGCCAGCCTGTGCCAGCTCAATAAGTCCTTGTGTCCTATGCCTGGATGGCAGTTTCCCTTTTTTTGCCAGTTGCCGTTCCTCTGAAATCAGGGCATATGCGGAGCTGGAAGAAACACCGTGTTTCCAAAGAAATGTCTGGCAGTTAGCGCAGGAACAAGTTAACTCCATCAACTTGAATCCAAGTTTCAAACGAAACTGGAGCAGTTTGGTTTGCCGTCTCACTCACCCACCTTAGTTTTATGGCTTCAATAGAATTTTTTTGCCATTAATATGTATTAAACATAGATTTGTTCTGCCACTTGAGGGGGAAACGGAGGCTGAAAATGGACTGAAACAGAAGCTGGAGCCGGGAAGAGCTCGTCTTTGAAGAGCTTTCCCCTTTCCCTTTCACTTCTGGCAATGGTTACTGCAACTTGTTAATAGGAAGAGATTAAAAAGCATGAGATGCAAAGGTGACCTTTCAAGCGAAGTACTTCCTTTACTCATATTGCAAAATAAAAACAATTGTCACGGACGGGGCACACATGAATCACTCTCTGTTGACATCATTAATGTGTGCTTAGTTAATCGGCAAAAAGCATGAAACACAATCAGCTCTTTATAATGAAGTGATGTCAGTTTTGCTTGGTTTCTGCAATGAATGACATGCCAATGCCCGGTGTGTCATGGGGCTGGCAGGATCGTCACTCTGCGTTAGTGAAGTGAGGAAAGAGTCCTGGCTCGGTGACCCATTTGAGTAACTAACTCTGTGCGTGGCCTCTCGTTGCCCTGTGTGGCAAGAAATCGGCTGCTTGCAGAGACGGAAACCTTTGCACTGGGAGTCGGAGAAAATGGGGTAATAAAGGGATTGAGTCGAGAGGCCGTTTGGAGCAGCTCGGAGCTGGGCTCGGGTCTCAGTTTAACAGGATCTGGTTTTGCTATGGGGCAGGGGGAGGAAGCAAAGGCAAACCCACATGTGCCATTTTAAAAAGATTTTATTAACTCGTAGAAAAAATAAAACATCAAGTTTCACCCACAGTAGAAACACTTGAAGATTTTTTGTTCATGTCAATGACAAACAATACCTACATAAAGTGCCTATTGTTTTCTTACTTAAAAAACCCTTCCCTCTCCCCCCGCCCTCCCCAAATCTTGCAAATCAGACAAGACAAATGTAAACAAGAGTCAGGTTTTTTGGTCCATTGGGGCTGTAACTCTGCAATGGCTTTGCAGCAGCTTAAGAGTGTCTTCTGCACGTGTTTTGCAGACACAGACGAACACACGACACAGAGCCAGAGTCCGTGCACAGCTTCTCAAGTTTAAAAAAAAAACCAACAAAACAAACCAAAACCAACAAAAACCCCAACCCCAAAGCCCCAAGCAGGCGCTGGCAGGCCTCTGCCCTCCCCCTGAAGGCAGTGCCCAAGGCTGGGTGGTTTGGGAGGGAAAGAAATACCAAGGTCCGTGCCCTCCACACTCATCCTCCCACCTGGCTGCCTGGCGGCTCACCCTTTCCCTGTCCCTCTGCCCGGAGGAGGCTGGTCCCAGCGACACCCCCCCTCCTGCCCTCCAAAGCCTCCCGCTTCGCACCCCTCGCTCCCAAAATGCACCCCCAGAGGAGGGAGCCGATGAAAGCGATCCCTCGGGAGGAGGGAGGCTGGGGACGAGGCGAACACCACCCTCCTCT